TTCTCCGTATGCTCTGTTTTCCTACCAGGACAATGCCAGTGAGGGCAACTGTTTTCTCTACAGCTAATGCTTGCTGTTATCGAACTTTAAGTTGCGTGCCCAGACCAGTGTAATGTACATGCGGTTTGTTCAGCCTCTTGAGTTTCACCTATACTTAGTCTTTGGGTTAAGTGAGCTTAATGGGTTTTATATATAATGCACATATTTTTGATTCCTTAAAATAGATCAACACAGGAAGGCTCATTAACTGTCCTAGAAAAGAGAGCATACATGATTGCTTTTTCATGAACTATATGTATTTGCTTATTTTTTTTTGTCTTGTTCTTTTCTAGGGTTATGATCACAGCTATTTTTTCATTGCAACATTTATTAATGATCACATCAAACACCATGCAAAATACCTTAATGCTTGAACCCTTTGGATGGGAGCATCCTCTGTCCAATATGAGTGAAGGCGTATGGGTGAACTAAACAAAAATAATTTGCTGAATTAGTACCTATAAAATGAAGCTCTTCTGATTGTACTGCTAATAAAATAAAGGTCCTACTTAATTTGACGTATGTGCTTCAAAGTAAGTATTTTGAATGATCTTACATCCTTAAAAACTGTCTCATCACCGTTGAAGGAACGTGCTGCACTCCAGGTGAAAATTAAAATTAGAAATTGAGTTAGTTTCAGAATATGGATGCGAGTGTGTACTTGGGCCCTCAGGACTGCTTCTAGCACAGCTATGCAGAGGCTATGAATAACAACAGAGTGGCTCTTCAGCTAATTAAATACCAGTGTTCAGTTCATCACTTAGTGCTGAAGGAAGTCATTAGCACCACAGCTAATCAACCTACTTAATTAGTCTGAAGCGTTGGTGTATTTTTCCTCGGCCCATCTAAGTGTGTTCCAAGGATAAAGTCTGGTGGTGAATACAGACGCTTGCTGTGCGTTGTGGTTTACTGTCCTGTGCGTTATTAACATCAAACCCGTAATCTGCAGAGTATTTAATGGATGGTACTTGAAGGAAAGACCTCTTAAAAACAGTGTGAAGGAAGCGATCTGTATTAGAAGAGGTAGTTCTTTCTGCTGCCGAGTGGTAAAGGCTTATGGCATAAGTTTTTATGGGTTGGATAAGAATTGGCAGGACGGGGAGGAAACTGATTAATAAATCTGCAGAGGCAGTCCCTAGCCCTCTGTGATCTGATATCTCATTGCTGAGAATCTACATCTCATAGCTGCGAATTTAAAATAGCTCCCAGTGGTATAATTCTGCTAGGTACCTTGTGTGGGGCAAGAACGCAAATTGCTCCAGTGAGCTGTTTATCTTAAGTTCAAGCAATCAGTCCGGATTTCTTCTTTTTGTACCATGCAGAAGGAAAGAGGCAGCGTTTGCTCCCCTGAAGAGCGTGCCATCTTGCTCTGCATGCATAGTCTGCCAATTCCACCCAGTCTTCTCCAGCTCCCAGAAGACATAGACTGACTACTAGCTTTTTGGGCAAATGATGGCTTGTGGAGGAAATCCTTTATTCAGACCCTGTTTCCAATCTGTGTTTTGACCTGCCTTCTCAGTGGGGCGGTAGCTCGCCTCCGTATCATGGTCAGCTTCCACTGAGGTGCAGCACTTATATCCAGCATTCTTACATCCGTGGAAAAACGATGGGGCTGAAACAGTTTAGAGCAAGTGGCTTGTTGCATGAGAACAGCTGGTTATAGCAGGGTCTGAGTGCAGACAGCTCTCCTTGCTCAAACCTTGACTTACTCTTGCCAGCAGAGGTACTGAGGTAGAGGTAGAAGCTGTTTGCATTTGCAAACAATGGTGAATGCTTTCTTATTTCCATGGACTCTGCTAGCTTCTAGGTTGCAGGGAGACTGATGGTGGGAACTTAGGTTTCAGTTTAGTGGTGACTGGCTTAAATTGCCTATTGATGTTTATCCATCTTATGTCTACTTATTTCTGAAGTAAACTTAGAAGGCAGGAGAAGATGCAAGTGTACAACTTGCAAGGGTTCTTTCACGTGCTGAATGAACACAACAGTTCTCCACCCTGGGTAGGTTTATAATTAATTCCTCTTTTCTTGTAAAGCAGGGTGCTGATGGAAAAAATCTAAGCCACAATTGCTGAACTCTTGGATTTAATGCATGGCAGGCCCTTGAAGTTCCACTTGTATCTACAGGCACCTTCTTTAAAGTCAGTGACTACCCTGTTGTTCCCTTTGCCTTGCTTCTGCCATAGCCAGCAAATGAATTACTCGGCTATGTCTAATACTGGAATGGAGCAGCAGTGTTCCGGGCTTCTGTTACAACCTTGTGCCAAGTACTATAAATGGAGCAGCAGTGGTGTTGGGTCAGGGTGTTCAATTTGGTGGAGGTACTTCTGATAAACGGTTCTATTTGTTGTGTGTCAAAGCTAGTAATTTTTTCCCTAATGCAGTCTGATAATTGCATTTAAGTGAAAGGGATGTGTTGGTTATTTTTTTCCCCCCTCTGACTCCCTAACAAACAGAAGTAAGCTTATGCACCTGCATGTTTTATGTAAGAGAGAAAGACTAAAAGCAGGCTTAACCATGTAATTTACCGTAAGTGCTTTTCAACCACCATTTTAGAGCTGTTTGTTAGGTTAGGTAGGAAACACAGCTTGCACTACATGGTGGGGGGAGGGGAACCCACCATCAACAAAAAAACCCTTTTATGCTTTTTTATGTCATAATTCTGAGGCTCCTATAATGGTGGGGAGCTTTATTTCCCATCTCCTTATTTGAGCTGGAGATCTCTTACAATGTCAACTTTTCCAAACAATAGCCCAGCTACAATTTTGGAGCTAAAAATACCTGTCCCATTTTCCACTTTGAGTACCTCATCATTAAAGCAGTGTCTGCTTTCTTGATAAAACTTAGTATTTATGTGCACTGCTGCTTTCCTTCTTGAACGTGACTTTCCATTGCCCTGCTCCATGACCAGCAGCAGAATCAGGTGTCACAGTCCATGAAAACTTGCTTTAGAAGCCCATAACCTCGGTGCTTCACAGAAACTTCTCTGACATCTTACAAAACTGCTGCTGGACTGTTGACAAGAAAGAGGCTCCCACACGTGCCCTCTTTCATGGACAGCAGTGAGTGTGAATCCAGGACAGTGCAAACCTGTGTGAAGACTTGTATCAGCTATGCAGCAACTGCTGTGCACCAACTCCACTAGGAGATGGATGAGGATGGGAAATCTCCGTCCTTGGGAATGCTCAAAAACTCCATGGGCCACAGCCCTTAGCTACCATCTGTAAGCAGTTTCTACTTTCAGTAAGGAGCAGCAGGGGACCTAGCTCATGCCCAGCCTAACCTAGTTATCAGTCCATCAAGCGTTTGTGTTCCAAAGGCAGAAACTCTTGCAAGATGCACAAAGGCATCTCGCTGCCTTCGCTAGCAAAAGCAGGCTCCATGGCTCATCCGTTCCCCTTTTCCTAGCCCCAACTGAGATGGTCTGATCTAAACCTGCCACCAGAGGCACTGTGGGATTCCACTGCCAGCTCCTGACCACAGCCAGGCACCTGCTCATGAAAACGAGAGATTGATGTTGGTGCTTGCCAGTACTTTCACCTTTCACAGCCAGGTCAGACAGATGTCCTCCTGGGCCCAGAAAACAGATGCGGGCTTTGGATTCAGGCCTCCTCCAGCACCAGTGGGACTAGTCAAGAGCTTCAGGCCCTTTAACTGCAAGCTTTCAAGGGCAGACAGCTGTGTTTTTTGTTTTTTTTTTTAAATTTAAATTACTGTTTGACGTAGCCTCTTTGCATCCATAAAGGTTTGAGGAGGAGAACAAGCTGTTCTTTTTAACCCCCCTTACCCTTTCATGAGCTATTGCTGTTCTACAGCGTAAAACTAGCTTTGTCTGCTTTTAACAGTATGCTGAAGGTTACTGTAGAATGAGAGCCTTCCCTCCCCAAATCCACTACCAAAATTGAACAAATACAGCGATAAAAAACCATCTGGTTAAGGCAAAAAGACGACTTCAGGAAATGAGACAATAGCAGAATTTGTATTTAGATGACTTCTTAAACTTGCATGGGAAAGAGAAGGCCATATATTTATTTTAGCCTACAAGCAGTTGTCCCTACTGCCCATTTCTGCAGCCAGGAGGAAACGGACAAAACAGTCAGTCAGTCAGGCACAGTCCAACCACCCTGGGATATCCTCAAGTAAGAAAGTTAATGCTTTATTCCTTCGATTCACCAAAATAAGCAAATTACCAGGTTGTTTACTGAAAGAGCCTGAAAAATAAACTCTGCATTTCAAAAGGAGACGGGAAAAAAAGCTGCACTGTGAAGTGGGAAGGAATGCCTCTGATACAGCCATGTGAGACACGGAAACCACTCTGGGAAAGCAGAAAACTGAAGGTGGAGCCTCCCTTCTCCCACCTGTTCCACCTACTTCAGAGCAGCCCAAGGACTGACAGAGAGGGGCAGGGGCAGAGCAAGTGTCTGACACTGGCGCCTCCAAGCTGCCAGGACACAGCCAAGCCACTGCTGGGTCTCCTACCAGTGGAAGCACTGGGCAATTAATTCAACTTCTGCTGTTCCCTACATGACAGGCTGGAGATTTTTAGCTACAGGAGCAGCAAAGCAAGAAACTCATTTGCAGGAATTTTAGTTCCTCTCCCCAAAGCCTGAAGCAGGCACCTGGATCTGCTAGGGAAGTGCCACAAACTGCTTTGTGAAGGTGGTGAACATACAGAACGGCAAAAATAGCCTTCCTAGCGCCTGCTCGTTCAGGAGCTTGGAGTATATAAAACCAGGTGCCTGTACAAGAAGAATCCCAGCCGCTTTCCTGCCTGACAAACCATGCAACCAGACAACCCAACAGCTGGATCCTATTCCTAGCTGATAGAATTACCTTTATTTGTGTAATCTAGTCGTCATCTCCAACCCCAAATACCTTGCCCATTGTGAACAATTTTAAGCTCCCCGCACACCACCTCTTTTACAATAAATTGTCAGTCACAAGGGCAGTCAGCAAATGGTTTCTACAAATAATATAGTTTAATTGTAACTACAGTAAAGATTTTCTATATACATTATGTTCACTGCTTATGGTATTATAGGTTTGCCATGCATGTTTTATTGCACATATAAATAGTGTACAAAGATTCATGAAGATTCTGTTTTCAGCCGTACAGGTTAAGACTGCATAAAAAAAGCTGTATTACAAAATATTTAGAGCTATTTACAGCCAACGTGAAGCAATTACTGAAAGACACTCAGGAGAAAAAAAAAAAATTTAATTATGAAAAAACAAGATTTGTCAAAATAATAATTACAAAGCTTCATGTTGCCATATATACATTGTAAAAAAATACTCAGGAAACCTGCATTTTATCCCTCAAGATGCAGAAATCAATATTCCTATTTTTATACTCAATCTTTGAATGCTTTTAAAATTTGATAAACTCTGAGTTGAAAATGTATTTTCTTTACATTGTTCGTGCTTTTTGACAAAACAGATATTTGTGCAGCTCTGTAAAATATTAAAATACATTTTAATTTAGTGTTAAAGTGCACAGTACATTTTATAGGAAAGAATATACTAGCTGCCAATCAAAAATTACAATTTAAGTCAATGTTCCCTCTACAGAACAAAAGCTTTTGCTTTGGTTGAAGTAACTGGCTATTCTATGCATACTGTATGTCTCATCGTCCACGAGACGACTTTTCTCCTCCTAAGAAGGTGCTCTCAATACATACCAGTACATTGGCAATCGGTGATGTTAAAACGCGTAGTCCGCATTCAAATGCTCTATGAAAAATTACAGATTTGCTATTGGAATACTGGTGTTTTTAAACGCAGTGTCTGCGTGAACATGCGCATAACTCCGCCTAGATATGCGGCAGTGACAAGTATGCATCATTCTTTCAAAAAAGTCTTTATACAATAGTTTTCTCCACATTCTCTTGCTATTTAATTCTCCCACCGCGTTGCCTCACTTTTGTCATAATGCATTGCAAACTCTCCGTGCTTATATGCAACATGGACCCCTAACAGCTAGCCTTTTCACCACATGCAACTTTCCTGTCCCGTTTGCTGAAGTTACATCACTAGCTTTTCACAAAAGAAAAAGGGATGTTCCAGACACTGTGATAATCACTGTGCTGGAACTTTTTGATCTAAAACGTATGTGATGTTATAATAATAAATTATGCTTTTAAAAATCTCTTCAAAAGTTTAAAGTAATAATAAGAAAAAGAACCTTATTTCCTATTGCTGATTTGGGATTAGAGGTCTGATCCTGCAAACATTCACTACAGAACATTGTCCTTAATTCAGTGACAAACGGCTGAACTCAAGTGAATGATGGAGACTGCAAGGAGAAGCACTGCAGCCAGCAGGTAGTATCTGGAAGATCAGGTCTTTAAGACTGCTTTTAGCAATTTTAATAATTTTCGCTCTTCCTGAAGAAATCACTGAAGAAAAAAATTCAATTTTTTTGGCTACCTGGTAAAATTTCTTATTACTGTTCTTGTGCTATTTTTTCATTATTTGTTCTGTAGTGCTGTAGTCTTTAAAGAAAATCAAGTTACAGTGCAAAATTATATTTCAAGACACGTGATCCTAATGCACATCATTCATTTTGCTGTGGCAAAAGTTTAATGTCTTGTGCATAGCAAAATAAGTATCAATCAAAAATATTTGTTCACATTTATTTTTTTCAAGTTTATGTCTTTTCTTTTTTTAAACACCTATATACAAATAAAATGGGTGTGCTCTCAGTTTCAGCCAATTTAGCCTAATGGAGGGAAAAGTGCTACTGGAATGTAGGAAACTAAGTGGAATGCAGACAAATTTTTACCAATGTTCCACAAATCCAAAAATAAAAAATACCATCCCAGCTAGCTGTTCTTTTAGTAAAAGCACCTATTTTGTTTACTTTTTATCTTAGATATTAGAAAATATGATTTACGGAGATCTAGAGCTACTGCACACCAAGTAGAATAAAAAATAACTAAGTATTTATATTAAAATAAAGTGTTTAACCACAAAAAAGCAGTAATAAAATACAGTTTCCTAATTTACATTTTTCATCCAAAGGATGAATAACAACTCACTAATAAATAATATTTATATAAATATTTTATGTATGGATATTTTTAAAAGGCAATGGCCCGAAGCAACTGCAGAAAAATCTAACATGGTAGAAGTTTGATTTACTCTCCTTCCCCCCCCCTAAAATGATTACAATGATTCCTAGTTTAATCATATGAAGGTATCTTGCTGCAAGACAGCTGTACTCCCCACATTTTTAAGTGGTAGAGAGGTGGCTGTTTTAGTAAGTACTGTACAAAGTGACCTATAAAAGCAGTGAAGCGCCAGTTTGCTCTATAAAATATTCCTGTTTAATTTCTGGTTTGTAGTTCGACATGCCTTTACAGTCCGAAAGATGGTTTTAAAACCAGAAGTATAAGAATACTCTCGAAGTACTGTTTTTTTGCAGTTTGAAAAGATGGGCAGTATTTTTGATTCTTTGATGGCACAGTGGAGCTGGTTACAGCAGAGATAGTAGTTTCATGTGAATAAAGCTTGTTTCACTGTGGTTACATCTAGTAATGCTTGAACTGTTATGCTCACTTTTACCAAGCCCTTTTCTTCTAGGATGTGATGTGGTAGGCAGAGCTTCTCCTAGAAAAAACAAACAAAGGAGTAAAGATTAGACTATTCATTACTTTCTGCAAAACCTTGCTTTACATGAACACAGTTGAAATAACACAGCCTAACAAGCAGGAACCATTAGCTATTTTTAATTAAAAAAAACCCACACACTTGTGATTTTGACAGAAACTCTCTCATTTTGCTCTCATTCTATCTATGAATGAGTGTGAGATCTGTAAATGTTCTGGGCCTCACAGGAAACCATTCTGCTCTACCGTCATTACAGTATGCAAACAATACAGCTAAGAGTGAAGGCTAATGAGTACACACTGAAATTTTTACCTAGGAAGTGAGATAACATGGCATTTGTCCCCCGTTACATATGAGTTGCTGTGGGGACGGAAGGCTCAACTTGTCACTCAGAAAGGCTGTACCACTGACTTCCGGAAGGGCAGGTCGTGGTTCCCAGGATACGCACCTTGAAAGTCACCCATTAGCATTTAGACAAAAGTGTGGATAACAGTGTGCATTCAATGGATGAAGTGTTTCTTTCTGAATAATTAGAAACTTATTTTGTAATATCCAGGAATCAACTTTATTCACCATTAGGACGCAGCAGTCATGGCCAGGAAGAAACCCTATTAGCTGTCCACAGAGGCTGTTGTATCAGAAGACAGTTAGTATCCTCGCAAAAAACAGACACTGTATCTCCCATAGGTAACAAGAAACCCCATAGTGTACTATTATAAAAAGGCTTGCTTATAGGCAGCCATGTGCTATGACTATGACTAGCTGTATCTTTAAGAAAAAGTTTTCCTTAATGTAGCTGGGGATATTTATGTTAATAAAATAAACAAAATTAGGAAATCAGGCAGCAGGTTTATAATAAACAAATGGAAATACAACTTCAGAGAAAACACAATTAAAACTGAGATTTGTTGCCACAATATGGAAGCCAAAAGTGTAAATGGGATCACAAAAATACATGAACAGAAAAAAAAAAAATCATCAAATACTGTTAAACATGTGGATACTGATAAACTGTGGCTCATGAAGTCCCTCAACTGTAGATGTCAGATCGCTATAAGCTTGAATGAGCACCATATACCTCACTTAACCTTAACCTCACTTAACTCAGCATACAGTTTTTTTTTTTTTTTTTTTAAGAGAGGGAGGGATGTTTTGATATTCTCAGTATTGCATCTTTCTTAGCTGTTTGATAAACTTTTAGCTTCTAAAGCTCTGATGCATTTGAGATTAGGTTTTAACTGCTTGTCTGTCTTTTACTGATTGTTCTTTTTGCTTTTGTAACGTGAGCAATGTCAACTACCAGCATCTTTATATAATGCATGATACTGTCTCCTTTTGTTACATTTCCTCATATTCATATTAATTGTATCTCCAATTTAAACAGTGCTATTAATTAATAAATACAGTTTTTATCATGTTATGCACCTGTGTTTAATTGCTTTTATCCACCCTCACTGTTCTCCCGTTTTTGCCCAGTGATTCTCCCCTAGTGGGTCACAGCTCCACCATAATACTACTAGTATTAAACAGCTGCTCCGGTTCTTCCAATGTTTAGTACTTTTTCTTTATTAACGAGTATTTCCTTTGTGCTCAAACATAACTTATATTCCTTAAGTCATTGTCAAGTTCCTCACAGCCTACTCCAGCCTGAGTGAGAGAGAATCTGAAAGTATTACCAGCTCCCTTTCCAGGAAAGCTGGAAACGCTAACCAGGGGCCTGACGACGACGTATGAAGCACTCAACTGATTACCCCTAGAGATGATGAAAACTGATCATTTACTATCACACTGTTTTAGCCAACTGCCAATGCACAACAGTTCATTATCTTTCACTCAGATTACTTATTTTCCTTAATGGTGACTTGAAACCTGTTTGGCCTGGACTCTTAACAAAACGGGCTACGAGCCACCCACAACAAATCAAAACCTCAATCAAACTGACAACAGTTATCACAGAGTGAAATTGTCTCTAAGAGACAAAGTACCACAGTCTCCTGAAATTGCTAATAAAGCCTTCTATAGGAAGAGAGATTCATTTAAGGGCTCCACAAACCATGTCTGTGTTTAGTTTGAGGTAGATTTATTGCAGCCCAAGGCTGAAAGCAATCCAAGATGGTTAGCCTAGTTAACAGATAAAATATGCAGCTTTTCCTGCTGCTCTTAGAGACCTTAAAAAGTAGCAGCCAAACTTTATTTTAAATTACTGCATCTGATACTGATAAATACAATTTATTTATATTTTATATTTAAATTTTATATTTTCTGTTTAAGATATTTTAATATTTATTCTTTTATATTTAAAAGTGAGGGTTTTTTTTTCCAACTTTTTTATTTTATTTTTTAAGGTTCACAGTCAGAACTCAGAACTCCAAACAAATGTTGTGGATGCCTCTTACACACATAGACTCAAGAAATGATTCCAGACAGGCAATTTTCAAAGTCTGGTTGAGTAGATCTGCGATAAACGGACAACACACATTTCTCTGCAGGGAAGATGCTGCATCGCTCTGATGATCTGCCAGCACTAGGTTTACGCTTACTTTCATCAGGGTGAGCTGGCAGATTCTGATTCACATTTACTGACCAAACAGCTGCGGCAATTTATGAAACAGCCTCCTCCCATTCCTACCTGTTACTCTTCCTCTCTGCTGGAGCTACTGCCCAGTCAGCACAAAGGAATATGCCCATTTCACAGCCATTCCAATGCATCACCCAAATTTCTACTTCAGACCTACCCAGATTGGTCATTTAAGTTAAGAGACTGACTTCTGCAGTTCATTCTTGTTAGTTCTTGTTCATTCTTCTGTGACTGAGATTTTAGGGCTTAACATTGTTTACAGGATGCAAACTCCCAAACTGATACCTGACTGCTAGTCGAATAACTAAAAAAGAAGGTTGCAGAGACAGCAGTAGCAAATGAAAGACAAAAAATATTTCTATCAACTATCAAAAGTCTACTTCAAATGCGTGATGTCACTGAAGATATTTTGACTATTTAATGTCTTAGGATACGGTTCACATCTAAATATCTCTAAGGCATTCTGATTTCAAAAAATAAATACTCATGTTATTTATTTAGAACATAAACGACACACTTGAAATGGGATGTTTTTTCCTCCACTCTTTTCTACTCCTTTCCAGTGCCCTCACACAGCAAGCTCATTTCGCAGGTTCAGTGGCACACAATATGCCAGTATTTCATTAGTCTTCCACTCTCGACAAGAGGCATTAAAAACTAATGCCCATTGAATCAAATATTGGAAGACCTGAGTGATGGATGTTACGAGGCTGTTGGGAGACGGATTGAATCCAGACACCCAGCCTCAAAACAACCTACCTTGCTAAATATGTTTGAGAATATTCTAAATTTTTCTACTGAAGCCAAATAAAGAACAGTTAAAAATGTTTCCTTTAGAAAACTGTAGGTTCAAAACTTACCATTGTTGTAGCATCTTATAGCATTCAGAAAGCTATTCTTTTACCTGTCATGTTTTCTGTCCAAGAAGGGACTTTGCATTTTGCAATATAAAGCACGTTTCAACTAAAAGTATGATAGAGTCCATGCCTCATTTCATATTAAAACAACCCTATCCAATATAATTTTTCTCCTTTTAGAGAGAATGCATTGTCTAATCCTTTTAAATATAGTGTAGTAATCCAGTTTGCATAAAACAAACGTCCTCCCATATTTGCAAGATGTATCCTCAAATAAGGGAAGCTATTTAAGGAATCCTATAGAAAAAAAAAGCCCAACTGTACAACTGTGTTTTTGGGAGTCAGAAATTTTGCAGCGTGTTACCATTTTATATTATATATCTGTCTTCATCAGTTCTTCAAACGTACCATTCACAGCCTTCTCTTATTGGAACTTGGAATTTTATAATTCTGCAATTAAATATGTGGCTACAATGAACTTTCCAGACCCGATACCGAGACCCATACCATCTATTAAAAAAGAACAAACTTTACCTCGGTGTGTAATGAAGCAATTCTCTTGTTTAAGCCCTAATCACTATCTTCAAAGTTCTGGAAATGGCTTTCACCAGCTCTCACTCATGTGCACTTTTCCAACCAGAGCTTTAGAATAATACATTTCACTCTTCTCAGAATAAGCAGATCAGGTCCCGCTAAGGATGGGACCCAGAGCGCACTGACAATAGAGTCAGCTTTCAGAATTGCAACAGTTACATGGGGCCAAGCTCCCAGGTCTCTCGCATACTTGCATTCAGTCACTGTCCTTGCAGTGTGGCCCATTTCGCGTGCTCTTGTCCACTCTTTAACCCACAACTGCTATTTCTGAACCAGCGGAAACCACTGATATTTGAATTGTGAAGATGAAAAGCAGAGACTCCAAAACTTTTTGTAAAACCTGGCATTTTGAGATAATATACCTGACCAAGAACTCACCCATGACTATAAGATGTTAGATGATTCAAAAATTTTACATTTCTCCCCATCTTTGAAAAGATTTCTGTCCCTTTTTCGTTAGTATCAAACCCATAAAACTTCAAAACAGATATGAACCACCTCTCTAGAAACAAACAGACAAACAAACAAAAAAATACCCTGTTGAAATCGTCACTGAATAAAGCCCAGAAAGAGAGACAAGAAAATTGGATACTAACTCCCAGGACCAGTCTAAAAATCTTTGAAAACAACCACAGAGAGCAAGGCTGCCAATCCACTCAGAGCAGCATGCATAATTGTCTTCTCTATCAACTAAAGAATTGAGTTATATATTCTTAATGTAGTTTTAGTCCCTATGACATACACAGAGGCCCTTAACTACTGGTTGCAGGGAAACCACTTTCTACAGGCATACAGCCATTTTGAATGGATAAAGATGTTTTCAAACTCATCATGGAGCAAAAGAACAAACTTCTTTTGATTAAAAAACAAACAAACAAAAAACCGAAGCACAAAGGGGAGAGAGAAGCCAGGAGGCTGAGTCACAAGACAACACAAAAAGGCAGTAAACAGGCATATCCACAAAAACAGAC